CTGTTGAGCGATATGTGGTAGGGGGTTAAAAAACCTGTTTCATTGATCAAATGTAATCATTGAATGTAGAAATCATGACTGTTTCATTGAATGCAGACGCTTTGATTTATGTGCATTTAAATAACGTTAAATAACATTCAAAGTATTCTCCATATGATGAAGTGGTTATCTCCCAATAACGATTTTTTTAGATTTTTCAATTTTTGGAACTTTTTAAATGCTTATCTTTTTAATTTACCTTATATTTAATGAAAGTTCCGGTTAAAAAGATATGAGTTCGCTTCTCCATTGCTTGTTTTTGTAACTCCTCGCATTATTTATTTTACTGAAATGGCTACTGTTAAACACTCCTTTGTAATGCGTATTATTTAATTTTTATTTAAAAGTCATAGTTATATACTTTAGAACTTATCATTTTTTAATTAACTTGTAATATTTATTTAAATAAACTGCTACAGAGAAATTTGTGTTCACTATAAATGAAATACCAATTTTTCAGCTGTTCCTCATAAACGTATGAAATAAGGTTTGTTCACTAGCAATTCAGACGAAACTACTATATAAAAGATCACTAGAACCGAGTGTTCACTAAATTTTCGTAACGTGTTTAAACCAGCCCTTTTAACGTCTAGGCCCACTATGCATGGGCCTAGGGCGCACAATTTCTGTGGGGCCTCAGAAATCAGTAAAAAGTCCTCATTATTACTGTTTCTTTTAAATGCTGAAAGAAATTAGTTTTTCTCAAAAAATGCATTTTTTTTATTTCAAATTTTCTTTATATCCTACAACCAAACTCATATAAACATTGCACTAATAAAATTCGTAAGTACAGCTGAATTCCAATTAGTGCAATTTTTACTTAAACGGCTTTTACGAAAGCAATGATAATGCACATTCGCAAACTCTCTTATAAATGATTAGTGTCAACAAGAGCTATATGCTTTTCGAGCTACAATCTTTGATGTTGATAATTTAAACTGATTAATACACTTCTACAATATTAAAATTTTGATTTACTTGATAGTTTTGGAATGATGAAACCTAATTATCAATCTGATTGCTCAAAACGAAAGAGAGAAGCTTTAAATGCTGAAGCTAGCAAAAAAATGAGAAATTCTTTATCAAAATATTTCTCTGTTGATAAAGTAGAGCCCTCTGTCTCTGATGAAGCTGCTCTCATTAAGAGTTTGATTACATTTTTTGTTTGAGAGTTTTAATTGAATTCATTTAGAGTTTTAAAGGTATCAATATTTTGAAAATAACTTTTTCATTGAATATGAATTTTAATGTTTTAAAATGTGTTATATCTAAATATATTATTATTTAAATGTATTTTTAATTTTCTATGAGTAGATATAATTTTGGCTGTTTTGGATATTTTTTCTGTGTTGAAATGTATTTTTTTACTAAAAATTATAATTAATCACCTTGATATCTTAGTATACATGCTGAACTTATCGTTAAATTTAATGAAAAGTGGGCTAGCTTTGTGTTGCTTTAACTACAAAATAAAAAATAATTACAGCTTACAATAAAAAATAATTCAGCTAATCAGTGACTTTTAGCAAAAATCACTGATTTTAATTGATTGTGGTCACCAAAGTGTTTTTATTTTGACATATATAACATTATTTTTTATATTTTGCTTCAATTTATAGATGCGTAAACTTTATCTTACAAAAATAATATTCAATTGTTTGTTTTCAAAATTTCTTAGAATGTTTCTCTTGAATTATGCAATTCAACAGATTATTTTTTATTCTTAGGACTACTCTTCAGTAATATAATTTAAAAATATTTTGTAAGGGGCCCTGAAAATTTGGGGGGCCTTGGGCCTGAATTTTTCTTGATCGGTCCCTGGATTAAACTGTATTATGTTGTCAGCTACTAACTATAATTTATCTTACATGTTTTTCTTCAGTCTAACTTTTATTTATTTATTGTTATACAATCAAGATCAGGGCACAAACTATTCCAATCATCATAATTTTTACAATTTTAGAAGTTTCATAGTCGAAAGTATGAAACATTTGTTAAGATGTGTTAAAATTCCTCGAACTAAGTTTTATGCGTAAACATAACTTTGGCACAACAATTAACAATCATTTTATGCTCTTATTTTCTTATCTGGCTTTTCACTTTTGCCTCATCTTAATTTAAATTTTGGGTAAAAGAATATTCCTCTTTTTTTTCCTCATCTAAAAATTTTCTTTCTTTCTTTTAAAAAATTTTTTTTCTTGCATTTAAAAAATCGCATATCATTAATAAATGCATGTGCGTAATTTTTTTTCGAATTCAAACATTTTTAAGATTACATCTTTAAATTAGCTTTAAATCTCATTCTTTTACAATAAATTGATTCTGAATAATACTTAAGAAAATTAAGATGACTTCAAAACGCTGTTACTTCCGCTGTTCGTATTACTTCCAAAAACTGTTATACTCAATCAGAGTAGGTTAGTATTGAGCACTTTCTTTTTTAAAAGAAAAAAAAAGTTCTCTTCGATGGTTTTACTGACGTAGGATAAGTTATTTGTTTAAATGAGGTTATTTCTAGATCTTCGTCGGCCTCAAGATGATCAATACCTGCCAAATGATTTTAAATTCTAATAAGCTAAATTCCTAAATTTTACTACTTTTTTTTAGCTAATTAGTAAGTTAAAATACCGCAAGTAATAATCATTTCAAAAAATTGTAATTTTTAAAAAATTAAATTGTGCGAATTGTCATAAGGTTATTAACAGAATATTAAGCCTTATATATAAGTCTTATTCCTAATTGTTGTAATACATAAAGACTTATATCTAATTTCCAATGACAGAGCCCGATTATGATATATTACAAAGAGAATTTGCCCACAGATTTCAAACCTCTAACGTCAGAAAATGCATTTTATATTCAGTATTTAAAATGAAGACTTTTCTTCACAAAACTGCTATCATTTAAGAGTTAGAGTATTTTATTCTATATGTTATCATTATTTACTTACAATATTTGCAAATCAAGCAGAATCGCCGATGCAAGCAGTAATTAAACCTTAATTTAATGCTTTTCTATTCAGTAAATAGAAAACTATCAATCTTCAACCCATTATGTGCTTTGATGCAAAATAACTCAATTCCCTTCACTTTTAAACACTTTTTCCTTTCTATAGCAATCTGGAGGTCTCTCAGGGGTTGAGGGGTCAGATATGGCCTACCTTCAATAAAGAATAGTTTACGCATTGTATTCAGCCATTCACTTTGGTCAACCTCCTTCTTTCAAAGAAAATCGCTCCAATTGGTTCTCTAACTTAGAAGAGTAATTGAGACGTCAACTCCTGTCCCCTTAGTGGTCAAATCTTATTCAAAAAGGGATGAGTTAAAGGGGTCTATGAGATATTTTTAGGACTGTTAACCTCAGAAATCATTCAAATAGTTGCGATTTGTAGAATTGAGGAATTCCTGAGCCTGAACTTGAAGAATTGTAGTTGTGCAGTTTTAACTCCATTGATAACGTTAAGAATTTCGTGAAATATACCAAATTCAGGATAAAAGGTAAAGTTATTACTTTCAAAGTTAATTTTTTTCGGATTCATTAAGCAATTATAATTATAATTAATATTTCGTTTTAGATGTATAAGTTTTTAGAAAATAGTGTTAGTTTGTTTTAAGTTTGGTAGTTTTCGTGAAATATGTTCCTTAATGTATTTAATATTTTTTTCACTATCGAAAGAGATTAAATTGGATAAAATTTTTAATTATATCTAAATTCTTTCTAAATTGCCTGACAGAAGATAACAAGGGAAACGTCGTTTAATATTCTTCAATAATATTACATAAATAATATAATATTAAGTGTATATAAAAAAAAAAAGAGAGTTAAATTAAATCCAATGTTTTTTGTGAATTATTTGAGTTTTTTCTCTTTGAAGGAAAAAATATAAATTGCTGAACAAATTTTAATTTTAAGGATTTCTGAGAATAAAACAATTTTAAAGATTCAAAAAGGAATAGCTATATTTTATTATTATTACAGGAGGTAGTAAGAAACATTTAAGTACTTCAATGAACTTTGCTTCTTACTTTTCGAAATAATGTAAGATAATTAAAAAAAACTGTTTTTTTTTTTTTTTTTTTTTTTTTTTTTTTTTTTTTTAAATGCTCAGCTAATTTTATTTTAATAGATTTCGAGGGAGTTTAAACATTCAAGTGATATTTTTAATGACCCCAAATTTACGTGTTAGTAACCAATAAATTTATTTCGGGTGCAAAATTAGTCATATTTATGTAGTTTGCAGTGTTTAATCAGTTTAAAAATATTTTCTGACCATAAACAAAACATAAATGTTAAAATTTCTAGTACACTTGTTGATCATTCAGATTCTTATGCTCAATTAACAATAAATAAATCACTTTTTTTAAATTTATAATATATATATATAT